TTTTTTTTGGTCTCTGCCATAGGCAGGTGTACTAACTGGAGAGAAAGAGAGAGGGAAAGTAAGAATTCATCCCCAGAGGGGGATAGTCACACTTCAATTTCTTCTCCTCTGTTCTCCACCTGGAACTTTGGACATGCATGCACACATGCCCAACGTGATTTTCAAGCTGCCAGGTCCAGAACTTGAAATGTAGTCAGCCACGTGGGAGTCTAGCGCCTTAACCACTATGCCACCTGCTGGCTCCTATTTTTAGATTTTTGCTAGAGGGTGTGTGCACTTACCAGAGAGAAGCAGAGACAGAGAGAAAGTGAGAAATTACACCTGAGAGGGGATGGCTATTCCATGATCCCATCTCCTCCATTCTGCTCTTGAGCTTTTGGGCACACATGAACATGTATCTGGCATGTTTTGCAAGCCTCCAAGTCCAGAACTTGAACCACGCAGTTGGCCATGTGGGATCCAGCACCTTTACCACTATGCCACCTGCTGGCTCCACTCAGAATTTTTTTTTTTAAAAATTTTTTTTTTTTTTTTTTTTTTTGAGAGGTTTTTGCTATAGGGCGCCTGCGCCCGCCAGACAGAGAGAGACAGATAGATAGAAAGCGAGAAATCACCCCCCCCACCCACCCAGGGGAGATGGCCACGCCGTAATCCCTTTTCCTCCATTCTCCTCTCGGGATCTTGGGCACGCACGACATGCACCTGGCGTGAGTTTTAAGCCACCGGGTCCGGGATGCGAACCGCAGTCCACTACATGGGAGTCCAGCAACATAGCCATTACGCTAACTGCTGGTCCCCAAGAGATATTTTTGCTATAGGTCACATGCATTCACCAGAGAGATAGAAAGTGATAAAGTACTTCCCCCAGGGAGGATGGTCACACCACAATCCCTTCTCTTCCACTCCCCTCTCAGGGTTTTGAGAACACACGTACATGCACTCGGTGTCAAACTGCGATCAAGTTCGTGGGAGTCCAGTGACATAACCATTACACCATCTGCTGGTCCAGACTCTCAGAATTTTGATGACCAGAGCTGACTTCCCCTAAGTCTATATAACTCCACGTCTATCTAATTCAGGGATCAGCAGCTTTTTCTGTAAAGATCTGGATCTTTACAGAAAAATATTTTTTATTTTGGGTCCATATGTTCTTTGTCACAATTACTTAATTCTGTTCTTATAAAACCAAAGCACCATAGACAATATATAAATGGATGTGTGGCTGTTTCATTAAAACTTTATTTACAAAAGTGGACAAACTGTTGGGGCCAGCAGGTGGAGTGGTGGTTAAGGGTGCTGAACTCCCACATGGACGACGGTGGTTTGAGTCCCAGATCTGGTGGCTTGCTTTCCTCTGGTCAAATTTAAATAAATAAATAAATAAATAAATAAATAAATAAATAAATAAATAAATAGGTAAATAAAGTTAAATAAAATAATTCTTAAAAAAAAAAAAAAGGCGGACAAACTGGATTTGGCCCCATAGGCCATAATTTTCTAACCCCTGATATACAAGCATGTAGAAACTACATCAGTTCAACTGCAATTCAAGGGAATTTGGAATTGAGACCCTGAGATTAAGTTAAGCAATAATTGTGAGTTGCTAAACAGGAAAGTTGGGCAAACTGGGTAGTAGACAGAGGTAAAGAGCCAAGATCACTATTTGGGACAGTTATAATAGGCCAAATGTAGGCAGATAAGTGAGCAGCATTAGCCAATCTGCAGAGAATAAAATATACACAGAGAAAAATCAAAACTAGAGAGACAATGAGAGATAAAGGGGAGAAGAGAGTTCTTGTCATGTTGGCTGTGCTTCCTCACATAATCTCTGCCTATTTTTATATTCATTTCTCCTTTACTTTAGCCAGTTGACATGAGTTTCATCCAATCAGATACCCCCTAAATTGAGCAACCATTTTTGCTTCAGACATTCTAAGGAAGATTGTTTAGTCATTTAAATAGAAAATAAAGAGTAATTAAGGAAGAAGAGAATTAAAGTTCAATATATCAGGTAAGATATTAATACAATAATCGATAATGAGATGAAGATCTCCTCGCATAAAGTAGTGGCTACCATAAAAAAGAAGAGCAGAAATACAACAGGACTCAGGTCTGAGGAGGCAAAGTCTCCTCAGAGGCCACCATCTCTGAGCCTTCCTTTTCTTCTTTCCTCTGCTTCTTCTCTACCACACTCTTCTTCCAGAAACACCCTTCAATTTGTCAATATGAGGAGGTGACAGTGATAGTTTTTAAGGGAAAAACTGCAGCAGGTCTTGCTTCAGTTGAAGTACATTATATGGGTACTTAAAAAGTTTGTAGAAAGCGGAATTAAAGTACAAGTTTATTTTGGTGCAAAAAATATTGAAATTCATGCATGGGTTTTTCATAATATGTATTTTCCATGAACTTTTAAAGTCCCCTCATACAATTGCCTTGTGGTCTCTTACTGTGAATGTTGCTGTGAATTCCTCCAGGACAATATAATGGAATTAGTAGATGACTTTGGACAAATCATGAAGATGTAGTGTTTTCATCTGTGGAGTGAGATAAAATGCTTTCCTTTTTGTTTTTATATATTCTGATGCCCATAATTTTTCTGTCTCTCTGTAATCCCCACAGCTTGACTTGTTTTGTTGTCAGCAGGCAGCTTATTTCATATTCAGCTCAGTTTATATACTCAGAGCTTGGCAAGTAGTGTCTATCTGGTTATCATGCATTGTTCAAGAGGAAATTAACTTCTATTGAACATCTACTCAGTGTCTGAGTTTCACATACTTTTCTTTTCAGCTCACTCACACCTCTGTGAAACAGGTATCACAAGTCTAGTTTTTAGAGATGTAGATATACATTTAGAGATTTAATTATCAGGATCAAAATGATAGTCAACTGTACCTCAATTCTGCCACTTACCATGTATTCAATAGGTTAGTTTTCAAAGCTTCAGTGTGTTCTTATCCGGAAAGTGGGACTTCCTAAGAGTTAAGATAGTATTGGCAGGTTTAGCAAAGAACAAAATGAAACCACCAGGCACTATACTCCAAATGGAATAGCCTTACATTTATAAAATTACATTTATCTGAAATTCAGATTTTACTAGGCACTCCTGTATTTTATCTGGTAACTCTATGTTAGTATTACAGTTATGACGATGCATATACAAATTTTTTAGTATTGTCCTTAACACCTGGTAAGCTCTCAGTGAATGCTATGCTTATTAAATTTAGGATGTGATTCCTTTTTTTCCACTCACCACAAACACACTTAGTTCAGTTTCCACACAAAATTTCAGCTAAGCGAGGGTAATATTACTTTAAGTATATAGCAACGAGTTATTGTCTTGAAAGTGCTTTCAGAGCCTGGTCAATGGTGGAAAGCTCAGGGGAGCACGCACAGAAAGGGGCTGTTGACAGCCACTGCTGTGACCCGGCCACAGGCACAGCCGGCCGGCCTCCGCGGACAGCCACCCTCGCCCCGCCCCGTGCCACCTCGGCCACTCAGAGGCGGCGCCGCGCCTCTGCCGCACTCCTATAGGTCCTTCCCCCGACAGGCGAGGCCTTTCCATTTTCCCCCCTTCCCCTGCCCCAGCTCAGCCCGAAACCCGCACTGGCCCAGAACGTCTCCGCCCAGCCTTCCGTGCGAGCCCCGCCCTTCCGGGCCCCACATCTCGTCCCCCACCGCCCAGCGGCTCTGGGCTGCCCGCGGGGCCCCGGCCACCCGTTGGTAGGAGCTGGGAGGGGTCGGGGAGAGATCGAGGAGGGATGGGCCGAACGCCTTCCCAGCGGTCGCGGGAGGCGGGCCCGGGAGG